TTCTGGTAATCCATATGGTGGGATAAGTTGTATACATTTTTATTATTTGCAGTTGAAAGTTCGAGGCAAAAACATGTCTGCTTGAGATATCTAGAATATGGCATTTCGAAGAGTAAAGTGTTTGAAATGTAGTCTGGTGTCTTGGGAGTATTGTGATTGCAGAAAATCAAAGATCGCATTTGAAAATTGAATGTTTATATGTCAGATCTCCAACAAAATTTTACAGTGAATTGCGTGAAATTTGTTGTAGTGAGGCTGTGGATCATCGTACAGTCTTTTGTTGGGCTACCCGCTTTCGTAAAGAACATGTCAGATGCAGAAGATGACCGAAGAATAGGTGAACCAACAGACGAAGAAAGTGTGATACTTCTAACGGGACAAAAAGAAAGAAGATCGTTCAGCAACATGCGAAAAAATATCTCAAGCTAGAATGATTTTACCATTTAAGCATTAATATTTGGTTTATGGCAAAGCATACGAGGGTTATCTGCCTGGGGTGTGGGAGGATGCCTTCATGGAAGGCTTTGTAAGAAAACTAGCAGGTATTCTCGCAGGAAACCACTCCTTATTGCTTGATGCGACCTCATTAAAACGAAGATTTCATGATGGAAATCTAGCAAGATGAAATTTAGAGGCTTTGAACTAGAACTGAAATCGAGGTCAATCCACTGTCCATTCTTTCCACGATCCCAAAAATGTTGCCATGCACAATCACAAATGAAGTAAATGATGATGTATGCTTAGCATTACTAAACACATCATTACCAAAAGTAGAATTATGCTAGAAAAATTATAACTGCAGCATATTATTGCGAGTGGTTGCAAGTATTGTGCAGGAAAATGTACAGAAACTTGCTTAGGAATGGACATGGGAAGGTTGTAATAGATCTACTGACGAAGTGGGAACTTTCATCTCGTCTCATAAAGATCTATGCGAGTCCACCAAACCCTAGTTTGAAATAACAGTAGTATGGACTGCGTTTACCTTCCTGTAAAAACTTTCTTCCCCAAGTTTCCAAATCATTCGAAAGCTGGAAGAAGGCAGTAATTTACAAAGAATAGCAAAGCTTCTGAGTCACTGATCGCAACTATTCACAAGCAAAGGATCTACAGAGAAACTTTGTCGAAAGAAAGTGCTTGAAATAAATAAAACCTAAGAGAGAGAGGGGCGGATGCATTAATTTTGAATGATTTTCCCATTTGTGTTTGCTGTTCCGATGACCATCACTTGCTCAAAAATGTAACATGGTCGTTAGGTAACATGGTTCGCAAAAACTGAATTATTTGCCATTTCATGTCTTTCTCTGACGATTAGCGAATGGTGGACTGTTTGAAATCAATTAAATTATTATACACATAACCTTAATTTAAGAATTTAAACCATTAATTGGCAAAGAATTGCACCATTTTCAGAAATAAAAATATTGTTTGTTGCAGGCGTTTTGCATGTAAGAGGCTAAGAGCCTCAAGGAACTCGGGAGCCGTAGTTTGTCTTGGCCTCTTACATGCGAATTTCAGTAATAGTCATGTAACTCGAAACATGTGAGCAACATGGTCATATTGCATAGCCCTGAAAGACTATTAATTTCATTTTGGTATTTTGCGTCGAAAATTTTAAAAGGTTGTATCACTTTTCAAATCGTTGCCACCAAATATTTTCGCCCTGTATTATTATTTGAAGAAATTAAATAATGAAGAATCTGCATTAAATGTATGTATGTTTCTCGCATTGTGATAAAACAGCGATACCTAGAGCCATCGAATTTTGAATGACGTAATCCTACTGCGAAAATGGGGAATTTGTTTTATTATCGATTTCATATTTCATATTTGTTTCATATTTCATATTTTAACGAATTTTTGATTAACAAACTCAAGGATTTCAAAGCGAGCGATGGCAACGTTGTACAGAAAAAACATTTTTATCTCCAGCGCGTGAGACTGTGTATCGGAAATTCTAAAGGGTGCTCAATTTAAAATTATTTTGTGATATTGCTCTAGAATTAAATGTAATGGTTTAAGTGCGAAGAACGTAATATTTAATAAATAAAGATAACACATAAAACGTTAAAAAACGCCCCCTTTAAAAGTAATTTAAAATCTGAAACCTTCCAGTTTTTTTTTTTTTTTTTAATTTTTTTTTATGCATCAGTTAACCGTTTTATATGTATATAATATATACATATGTATAGCTCTCTTACCCGGCCTTTATTTTCTCAATCGTTCGTCGTGGTCATATACTTCTAATTACAGAAGTGTTTTTAAATGACAATAATATTCATGTTTTCCAAATGTAAGATTTTTTTTTAAAAAAACTTAATTTTCGACAAATAACGGAATCTTAACTTTTAATACTCTCCCCTGATTTATATTCTTATATTTGGAAAAGTTTTAAACCCGTTATAAGTTTGACTCGATATTTAATTTCGTTATACGACATATATATTCGTTATACGACAAAAATTTGCAGTTTTTGATGTTATTTTCAGCTTGCTTTGAGAGATCGGTTAATTAAATTGGAATAATTCGTGTAAATAAGTTTAAATAAAATGCAGCAAAAGATGTTTATAATTTAAGGCCTTACAAGGAAGTCATGTGGTGTCCATATCAGATTTTTGGAATAGTGAAAACATGCTATATATAGGTAGACATTCATTCTAGAAAAAAGTACAATTACAGATTCTGCTCGATTAAGGAATGAAAAGAGTGATTTGATGATAGAATTAAATGAAGGTCATGAATGATTAGCGGAATGGAAGACGTCTGTTAATCTGTTTCTCTTATCGTCTAACAAATTCGACAGGTTTTTTGCTTTATGATTTCGCATTTTTGCACCTTTCGCAAAAAATTTCTTATCTATAAAATTTTTCAAAATCGATTAAACTATAGAAAGCTGTGCTGTCTCTGGATTCCAAAAATGCTTTGTACAGAATTTAGGGGAGTGCGATGGGTTGGCGGCGTTTTTATAAGGTCCATGTTCCAGCCACGATGGCCGTGAGGAAGGCGACAAATTCTAGGGTCCACGGCCCGATTTCAAGGCATGTATGAGATTCTATTAGATAGAGACCTCTTTGAGGAAGTCTAAAGTGCTTGGTTTCGTGAGAGAAAAGACATGATTATAACAGTTATGGTGATTTGGGAGACTCATAAAACACGAGGTCTTAATTCCAGGCCTTATGGGTCTTGTCTTGATGTTAATCAGGGCTTTCAAGTTACATCGTAACTTAAGAAAGCCCTCCCCCTACACCCTTAAGTTACATCGTAACTTAAGGGTGTTAACTTAGTGCCAAAATTATGTATCTTATACATTTCCAAAATGAAATGTTAATCCATGGAATTGATCGACACTGAATCTTTTCAGATCCCAAAATTTCATGCAGATGATTTCGAGGAAGAAGTGTGATGTACGAGATCGTAGTTGATGATATCAGATGTATATGAAATTTTGTTTATGATAACTACTGGTGACGAAAAATGGGTATCCTCTGTATTCCTAAAACTAAGTGTCAGTCCATGGAATGGATGGACTCCGGGTAGCTCCAGACCTGAAAGTTCCATCAAGATCATGTGCACGGTGTTTTCAGATCAACAGTGAATTTTGCTCAGAGAAGTTTTGCCTCAAAGTGAAATGTTAAATTCAGAAATTCATTATGAAGCTTAAAAAAATTGCATTAAGCAATTCAAAACAAAAGTGCGGATTGCTTACTCAGAATACGCTATTGCTTCATGGCAAACCGCAGTTTAGGTTATCCATCCGGAAACAATTTATCGTTCTCTGTACAGCCTAAAATTTGGCACTTGTCATCTTTTCCTCAATTTGAAAATGTTCGTCATTAGGTGAAGGCTGGACTTAAAAAAGCAAAAAGTGAAATGTGTCATTGATTGAAAAATAGGGGGCAGATTTCTATGAGCAAGCGATATAAAAATTGAAGTGCAATGCATTGTTTTTCATTGCAAAAAATCGAGCCATTTAAAAGCAATCTGTATTTCACAATAACATTTAAATACTCTTCCATGGCAAATTACACTTTTATTAACACTTATAATAGTAATAAATTAGAAATTAATATTTTATAGAAGGTAACATTCCATACGCCATATATTATGGCTGCTGTATTTTTGTCTCACTCTCCTACTACTGATACATTTTCATTTATAATATAGAGTAACGAAAATTTTTAATTGTGTATATTGGCAATTATTGATAATTACATTTAGTCATTTATTGTATTATTACCTCATTACTTTTATCTAATTTCTCCCAATACGTTTTCCATAATACGAATCGCGATAAATTCCAAAAAAGCCGGGAAATTCGTACTGTTTTATGCTTTTTAAATGCCAGCTCTGAGAAATCGTAAAGACAGATAGATCTCCACGTCTATCTCCACGTCTTACCTTCATACAAATTCCAGTGAAGGTTTGAAATAAACCTATTTATTAACGTGCTTACCTGATGGATTCATAATTTAATACAATAGCAGAAACTTAATATTCACGGTATATAATGTAAACAGGTACAGGATGAAGTGGGCAGGACACCAGAATTTCATTTTGTACAGGTACAGCCCCCCGCTGCTCGAACTATGGAGTTCGGCTATCGTGCCATTTTAATAGTGCTTTTAGTAGTTGTGGAGTAAAATCTTTTTATAACCGGGCATTATTTTTCGGTGGCATGTTATTTTAAAATTAGAGTGATTAGCTTATGATAAGAGAACTTTACCATCTCGTCTTCGATGTAAAATTAATCTGAATTAATCCATGGACTGTACAAAAGGTAGCTTAATTACATATCTCATGGATTAGTTACATCTATTTAAAAGAACAAAAGTGATGTAGTTTATGAAATAATTAGTTTCTTGTTCCCCCCCCCTGAAAGTAGTTTAAAATTGTCATTTTTTTTTAAATAATAGAATTTTACTAGAAACATTATTTTTCTAATTTTATGGAATCGCATTAAACTATTTTAATTTGCTTAGAGTAAAGGGTATTATTTTAAATTCTGTGTTTTAATTTTTATAGAAAATAATGATAAACCTTCTAAGCTGGAGGTTGTTTAGAGGATAGTATTTTGAATTTCCTTAATATTCGGGCCTTAAGCACGATTTTAGTGTCAAAACAACTTTTGTAATTTTTTAATTTAGCAATGAACGTTAAAGCGTAAATGGTAAGGTATGCTGTAAAATGCAATATTCTTATAGGTAAGCTTAGACTTGTCTTTCGAATATTTTTATTTCATTGCTCGAATCATTTCGCCGTATTTTATAAATTTAAAAAGCAGATTTTTGCTGATTTTACTGCAGTTTTATAATCTGCTTTACTAAAAGTTCGCCTAGCCGCCAAGACGGTATACTAGTTAGGGGAGCCGACTACGATACCGAAGATCCCGGGTTCGAATCCCGGAGAAGGAATGCATCTTTGGAACTACCTTGGGAGACAGGTTGCTGCTTTAATTCCTCCTCCAGGATCATTAGATAAGCTTGAACAAGGATTACTTCGTGTACTGAAGATCACATTTTCCACATAGCAGCTTCACAGACGACCAAATTATCTGGAGCCATAGATGGTCGCCTTAGGGAGGGTTCACTGTAATTTAAATGAAAATCGTTATAAGATTAATAGTATAGATATATATCGATGCTCTGAGTTTGTAATAACGTATTTAAGCAGAATAACTGTAAAGTATTTTACTTTATAGCAGTATAATAAAGTAATATACTTTACTATACTACTTAAAGATATATAATATTTAAGTAGAATAACATTTATGTCCGATAGCTTAGCTTGCTTAAAAAATTAGAGTGCAGAAATGATCTCTATGCTGATTTTATTACATATGAATTCTCTCTTATACGATCATTCCGATTCCTAATATTTTGAATCTTCTGTGAATGCGGTCCTCTTAAAGAGATAATCTTGGATACCGATGCTTATTTCTGTTCTCAAAATGCTGATCACTTTCAGGTGGGGTTGTCATAGGTTTCACAATAATACTAATTATTATTAATATTATGAACTGTTAACTTTGTTTTACCTTAATTCTTCATACTTCTTTTGCTTATTCTTCTTCTGTGTCATGGGATTAGTTTCGGTTATGGTTCAATATTTTGTAATTAAATTTAAAATTTCTTGTACCAAGCAAATCTTTTATGTATAATATGTTTATTTTAATGTTCTCCTAACTTTGAAAATTTTTTCTTTGTGGTAAATGAGTTTAATGAAATCAAATTGTAGATACGTACTTTCATACTTTTCGGCTACATTTGCCTCTGGTAAATGCTGTCACGTATCGTCTTTCAATAACTAAGAATTCAGCTGTAGTGAACTCTATCTAAAATGATCGCCACGACTCCAGATGGTTTCGGTAAGTGTGGTGACCTTAGAGAAGGGATGTTCTGTGCCAATATTTATTTGTATTTTTAAAATACAAATCTTTTTAGAAATACTTTTTATATTAAGGAGACAATCACCAAGAGAGGGTTCGTTATATTGTGTTTATGAGCCTTGTGCGGAAAAATTTCTAAAATATTAATCAAAAAGTACGGACCTTCTTGCATTTCATACAGAATCTTAATATTTATTTTATTCGTGATACCACTTGTTCAAAAATCTTCCCATGTAAAACTGTTATCTTTTAGGAATTTCTGGAAAACAAACGGGAGGGTACTAATACGATTTGGAGATTTTCTGGGGTATTTCCAAGAAATCAACTGGAAAACAGACTTTTATATCACTAGCCAAATGTAGGTCTCCGCTGAAGAAATGAAACAAGTTGTAGATTTCTTTTCTTAAACATTTTCTGAATTTAGGAGATTATGGATCAGCAAGGAAGAAATCTTTCATTTAATCGTAACACCTCGCATACATGAATTTTTGAAACAAGGTAAATAAAAATCGTGGGTAAAAGTAATCATTCCACTACATCTGACATTTAATTTTACAAGCTTATTTCTGTTATTTTTATTCTCAACTTGGCAAATATTTTCTTTTTGTTAAAGGGAAAAAATGTATTTTTAAAAGTTGCCGTAACTTTTTATGATTTGGTATCAACTGAATAAGGTAAAGTATTCTTTTTAGGACAGTTTTGGTGCCATTTTGAGCTTTGGAAATTAAGAAAGTTTTCAGTGTCATTATTGCAGATAGACTTTGTTCTGTAGTAATGCGTACAGAATTTTTCTGTTCTTAAATTATGAAAAATATTCTTTGTTGTCTAATTATTTTACTCTATTTGATTTTAAAAGAGATATATATATATTTCTTCTTTTTATAGATTTATCGCTTGCTTCTTTCTGTAGAGTACATTTAAAATATAAAATAATTGGTTGTTCTGATAAAGCTTATTCCTTTATCATGAAAGGCATCACTATCGTGTTGCTTTTCTGCTTGTTATTTATTGATAACAGAAAGTACGTGATTACGCTTTTCGCATAAACTTGGTGTAAATTGCGTTAGTTTCAAAATTTGTGCATTTACCAAGATATAAATATTTTCATTATTGTGCTGAGAAACCAAGCTGCTTAAAATTTTAGAAACATCAAAATTCTAAGATTGTATAAAGAATGAATCTGGATTTCGACGACTAAAGAGATATATAAAAACATAAAAATAGTATTTTTGTATCTTCTTTTTTTTTTTTTTTTTTTTTTTTTTTTTTTTTTTGGTCTAGTGATCAAGATAAAGTATTTTCTGTATTGCTTCAGAATGATCCTTAAAATTGTACGGCGATTGTGTTCCTGTTCTTTACCAAATCATGGCATGTAATAATCGTAATAATGCAGGAGCAGAATTTTTAAAAGTTTGCGAATAAAAATTCCGTGTTTCTAATGGGAGTTTTTATGAAAGAAATTAAAAGTGGACTAAATAAAATCTTCTTTAAGAAATTGAAATGCAATCTTTTTAAAAACAATTTTCAACGTCGCGCATTACATTGGAGCCAAGCGCACGTTTTCGCAACAAAAAATAAGTAAAAATTCGGCGCGCGGTTTCATTGGCTCCTGTTCCGTGTTGCCAACGCAGCAGTCTGGTCGGTACACTGCCGGATGCACTGCAGTGCAGTGCAGTTCGTTTTAGTTATTTATTTTTTTCAAAAATGCGTGACGTCATCCGGCGTAATATAAAATGGCGGCCCCATGTAGAGGTAGTGTCGGGCTTATGATGTGGTACTACTTCATCGATTTGGCGCGACTGTAAGCGTTTTCAGCCGGATATTGTAAAAATTATGGTTGGCGGCGCTCATGTTTCGAATATTTCGTAGCGGAAGTTGTTTTGGATTCTTGCTTTAGTTTTGACAATCAATGCGAATTAGCTCTAATTGTAACGTTTTTTACTGAAACGCATATAATTAAATGCTAATTTTGTAATAATATGCAAATATACTAATATGATGCGCAAATACAAAATCTTTGACTCTTTAGATGCATCATTATGAGCATACGATGACTTTTTCTTTTTAATTGGTATAAGTGAATACTTTAAAAATTTTCGGTAGCGCTTCCTTAACGTATAAATGGTGCTTGTATCTTCTAAGTGTTATGCGGGATAATGTACGAATTACATGTATCTTTTAGAACTCCAGATATTTGGATTAACTGAACCACACTTATTCGGATATACCAAAAAATATTCTGGATAATTATTCCCTCCCCCTTCTTGAGTCTCAGATGCGTCATTAGTGTAATTCTAACGAAGGAATTTTATTTTTTCAACTAACATATTTTATTTAAACAAAAATATAAAAGTATTGTATAAAAAATTGACATATTTTTATTTCCACGAGACGAAATTTAAAAAAAAATTAACAAAATTAAATAATGCAGTGATTACCTTTTTTAAGCACTCATTTCTGCTCGATACAATTTTGCATAACATTTAAACGTATGCAATACCGCCAAGTTCGTTTATATTTTTGGAAAAAAAAAAAGGGGGGGAACACATGTTGCGGTTAATCCATGAAAGCAGCCGTTGCGTACTAACGGGACTGCTTTTCCATTCATATTTACATAGTACATATGTGGTGAATATATTAATTCATATTACATGTCATTCACATTTATTTAAATTAACTAAATAACTTCTTCGCAAGAATATTTTCTACCGTGTTAACATTTAATGTTCAAAAAAAATGAAAATCACGTGATTAAATTAAGATGGCTGCCCAGTGTCCGGATATCTTCAGCATTCCAACTGTCCATGTCTCTTGCTCTTCGAATTTCGGATATGTGCAGTTCCCAAACCGAAAGTTCAGTTGCATTTTAAAGAACTTAATTAAATCAATTAAAAACTTCGAAACAAAATCAATTAAAGACTTAACTTCACTCATTGTAAATTTAGAAACTGGTATATTATAATGTTTATATATGTTTTATATTTATAATTATTTCCTGTCTTTAAATTTGGAAAATTTTATAATTATTTCCTGTCTTGAAGCTTTTAATGAAGAAAACATGAAACTTTAATTCAGCCAGCTAACGGATTCTTACAGAATTGGAGTAAAATTTGCAGATGATCAATGATCTTTTATCTATTAAGTTGTAGCGTCATTAGTTATTTTTAAAACAGGAGTGATGAAAAATGAGCAACGCCCTCGCCGGGAATCGAAACACCTCTTGAATGCGCGCCCAGCGTGCTGACCACTACACAACCAAGGCATGCTAAGAAGGCGGGAGAAATACCTTACATACTTCTCCTTTTAAAGGGAGACTGCCGTGTTTTTAGAGGACTCAATCGCCAAATCCTGGGTGTGGAGAATCATCATCCACTGCCCTTTTAGTTCGGGCGCCACTGTAGACACATTAGGTATATTTTTAATCGAACCACGGACCTCTGGAATATGCGCCCAGCGTGCTTACCACTACACTACGAAGGCATGCTAAGAAGGCGAGAGAAATACCTTATCAAGTTATAAGGTATTTTCTCCCTCCTTTCCGTTGCCTTCGCGGTGTAACTGGAAGCGTATCCGAGAGGTACAAGGTTCGAGTCCCGACGAGGGCATTGCACATTTTTCACGTCTCCTTCTTCAAAAAAACTTAATGACTGTATAAAGTTACTAGTAAATTAAAATGTTAAATTCCTAATAGCTTTTATTTAAATTTAATTTAATTCACTTATTGTCCCGGTCATTAGGATTGAAAGCACTTTACTGCAGCTTAACTTATGTGTATCTCTATGTAATAAACGCATAAGGTATTTCTCCCGCCTTCTTAGCGTGCCTTCATGGTGTAGTGGTCTGCACGCTCAGCGCGTAATTGAGAGGTCTGTGGTTCGATTCCCGGCGAAGGCGTTGCACATTTTTCATCACTCTTGCTTTAAAAATAACCTAACGACTGTACAAACATATGTGTAATTAATAGTATATTATAGTAAATGCATCCCAGATTATATTCTCAATTTATAGCTACGTGCGTAGCACCTACGCACCGATACACGTACTGTCGCGTTTCGTACGCTACGAAGCCATTTATCATCTATTCCAGGGGTCTTCACATTTTTTAGCCAGCGGGTCGTATTGCCTTTTCAATTCAAGCTTCTGTGTCGAAGACCTAGTTATTTCGTCATTCCGTGGTGATGTAATTATGATGAATAGCATA